ATCAACAAGCTGACGCCGCAGGTGGTCAGCCAGGTAACCAGTGCTGGACGACTGCGGTAGATCCTAGATCCGGTTTTTTTGGATTGCTAGCATCAGCGTTATGGTATCGCGTGGTCGAAACTAATTCTAAACGCGTCTCTGACTCACCCCAAACTGTTTCACGGAATGATTGAGACGAGCCGTCAGTGTTACAGATGGACTGATCGTTCGGACTGTCGTCCTGGGCAGGTGTGTTAGTGTGCATACGATGTTTCGGCTAGGTAATTTTCCCGACGCCTTTAGACAGTAATGAGTTCGGAGAAGGATCTGAATGAGGGGTCCTAAGTGTCGTATAATAATATGTCGGCTTCGGCACACTTTTCATAACTAGGCCCATTTTACCACTAGGGTTCACTTGCTTCGTTTTTGTTCGCCGGCGGGAGGCAAGGATTAAAATCATTTGATGAGACTCGGTGAAATTAACATGCACACGATTTAGGCCTAATTTTTACCATTGATGCTGATGTCGGTGTGTTGAGTTCTTTGCATTTTGTAGGGAACAGTGCTGAGACGGGTAGCATAAATACATTATCAGATACCACAGCATTTCAGTGACCGCATCTGTACCATTTGTTTGTCAAGTGTAACGACGCCCGTGCGTCAAACAGCTAAAATTATTTTGTTTTGTCTTCGATATTTTGCTCGATATGTTACTTGTCTTTTGGTGTCGACCTTTGGCGTCGGCGTTCATAGTGTCGATCTTTTGCGTACCGGTGTTTTGCGGAATCAATATTTTGCGCATCGATATTTTGTGGTACTGTTTGCCCTTCGATATTTAGGGCATCGATATTTCATCATCAAATTGCTGACAGCGGACCCATACGCGCGCTACAATGTTCAGGAGGAGGATGGAATCCCGTCCCCACCACACGTTTCAGTTGTGTTGAGATAGAAAAAGAGTGAATTTGGTTGCTGACTATGGTCCATGTAAAGGGAATGTTCCAATTTTGAAGATATTGAGGCGGGCATATATGATGAAATAAGCTCGCTTCTACCTGTATGCTTCTAGGCGGAAAAGACTGCTTCTGACAACAAAATGTCTTTATTTGGTAAATACGCTCCTCAATATGTTTTTGATTGCGTAATGAAACTCTGCATGGCGTTGAGGTGTTGCGAAACAAGCCGCGTGAAATTGCCACTCGAGCACTCGCACGTAGTACTTCAATTCGCCGAGAGATGTCAGAGACGGTGCCGGAAGTCCTCGCTGAGCCAAATATCGTTATGGACTCGTGTTTTGACCCTTTCTCTGGGCGTCCCGGCATATTTATCCGTGAGTGTAAGAAGTTTGACTTGTGAATACGCGGTTATGGCGTCATTCGTAAGTTATTTGATTGCAAGTCTTTGTTTCCGTAATAACTAGCAGTCGTGTCCAGCTTCTTATATTGTGTAGCACAAAGCGTGGTTCGTAGTTGAGACTGGTGCAGCTTGCCCGCATTGATTGAGGGCCAAATAGGCTTGTTGACCTGGAATACCGAATGGGTTATGGGGTGGTAGGATTCGAATAGCGCTGCTATGGCGTCATGCGTGCCGGAATGACTTTGAAATAGTCTGCACATCTTTGCGAGCGCGTAGCTCAGAAACTAAATTGATCTAGGTTTTAAGAAGGACAAGCCTGTGAACTGCACCGAGTGATCTTCTCAATAGCTTTTTTAGTTCAAGAACCCATACAAATGTAGAGCATTGCCTTTAAATAAGTTCACTCATATAATTATATTATTATTTGTCATACATGTATATATATATATATATATATATATATATATATATATATATATATATATATATATAATGCACTCCACTAGGGGGCGTGACAATAAGAGGCTACCGTTCTTAGACGTACAAACCGAGAAAACAACAGGTTCGGGATGTTGTAGTACCTGAGAACAACAACCAGTCGCTCCTGAAATTCCAGGTGCATCACCTTGACATTGCTAATAAGGGCAGCATAAGTTGTCTCCAACATGGCTCAGATGCCATTAGCAATGATGGCGCAATTAGGAGGGAAATAAGCCACGTAACCGAACCGCTCCACAGGAGCAAGTACCCAACAGGCTTCATAGGCTTGTAGTCTTAAGAGCACGTTCAACGAGTATGGAAGCGAGGGGGAAGGGAAGGGAAAATGCACACCATCAGTATCCTTGCCTTACGATGACTTGTCAGAGAAACAGGTCGTTCTCTGTCGGTCAGACTGGACGAGTACAGAGGCAACCATCCGGGGTGAGACAGGTCTGGTGTAACGGGGCGTGCATGGTCAGACGGTCACCACCGCTTCGAAGTCGCTGGCACTCCATAAAATGATGCGCGGCATCGTGCGTCGCGTTCCCCCTCCACAATAAAAAGACTAAAAATAGTTTGCGGAAAATCCCCAAACATCCAGGAAACAATATTATTTTAAGGAAACACAGCGCACGCTGTCACGCACTTTTTACGGAGCGCCAGCGACCGCAGAGGCTACATCAGGCTCATGGATCATGGCGCAACAGGGGTTGGAGCTAGGGGTCCCCATATGGTAGTGGGCTAACCACTCGGCCATTACGAGATGAATAGGTAAGTTCTATGGCCCAAGTATTGCTCTTCCTAGTTATTTCAGTGGCAGAAACCTAGACTCGTAATGAGAATTCCTCTGTTGAAGTCCCCGCAATGCCGAGGAGAAAATTTGGATTGTGACGCGTACTGGGCTGGATGTGAAGACACCACGCAGTCCGTCTCAGAACTCAACGTAACGCCTGCAAACGGCCAGAACGCACCAGACGAGAGCGGTAGCCCGAACAGTTACTTCAACAATCGAATGCAGCAACGAAACGGAGCGGAACAGAACATGCCCCCCCCCCCCCCCGCCACTTCCCACCTTTTCACATGTTATTGCGTTATGTAGTCATCGCGTGCGCGGCCCACCGTTTTTGCAGGCCGATTTGGTGCATTTGATGGCCCAACACGCAATAAGCCGTCTCAGTTGCCAGGCACCTGGTGTCTGGAAACACTGAGCACCTTGATTCTGGCCTGTTTCAGCTGATGAATGCCCTGAAGCACGAGACCGGCCTGGAGCTGGACTCCAAGGACGAGGCGCTGGTCGGTCGCGTCACAGACCGCGTGAACCAGGTGCTCATCTTCGGGCCCGGTGAGTCTGCAGACCGGCGGACGCGGGTGCACACTGATGGCGTGAGCGCACGGGCGATGGACCGCGGCGCCGATGCCGCTCGATGAACGGCCACGCCCACTCTAGGCCGCTGAGAATGGCCCTGCGGACCCGCCGGCGCGGGCTGGCTCCTCACGACCGGCTGTTGCATTGCACTACCGTGAAGTTTGAAACGCGTGATGCTGGACTCAAATGGCCTTAGTAGTTTTGTAAAATGCATTGTCTTGCACCCAGTGGTGCAGCATTGATGTTTCAAAACAAACAAACAAACTTCAGTTTCAAACTTCACTACCGTGAAGTTTGAAACGCGTGATGCTGGACTCAAATGGCCTTAGTAGTTTTGTAAAATGCATTGTCTTGCACCCAGCGATACAGCATTAGCATGGTATTCTTTGCGCGTCATGCGCGACAACCTAACAGCTGCCGTTGGGCTAGAAACCGTGGGTCGCCGTCATCTGGATGGTATAACGCGGCATGAACCGTGTGACAAGAGTGCAAACCCTACACAGAGTGGATGTACGTGACGTACCAACCGCCATCGGCCATACTCCGCAATACGTGACCCCCATGACCCCTTCACAGAGGAGAACCGCATGTGCTACACGATCCGTGACCCGGTCATGTCGGCGCCGCGTTCGGCGGCCGAGAAGCGGCCCCGCGGCCTGGCGCGCCGGCTGGAGGTCCGCTCGCGCTGCTTCGACGCCAACCTCGTGGTCGACGGCGGCCTCTCGTTCCCCTTCAACGACGGCACCGTGGCCATCTTGGACATCCACGACGATGACGCGCTGCGCACGGTCGTCCTGGACGACTGACGCGGCGCTCCGCGTGACCGGGCGCGCGGCGCGGCGGCACCGCCCCGGAACGGGGTGGCTTGGCGGAGACCGCTCCGCTGGGTCGGGCGGCCAGCGGCAGGCGGCCGCCGACGGTCAGCAACCGCTGGCTCTTGTTACACGGTGAATTTGGCCTGTGTGGCCGTTCAGGACGCCTGTTTTGTTTGGAGGACTGTTGGCGGCGGAGGAGCACGTTAGCGCGTTGCTGCCTTCGGTGAAATATGCACGCGGCTGGTGCGTCGTCGGTGTGCAGCCGTCATTGGCGATTGATTGGAGGCGCACAGGGGCGTGTCCCGCTATTGACCGGGTCCGCAGTGACACGGCGGACGGGCCGGACGAGCTGCCCCACCGTCCAGCAGCGCGGAGAGGCCGCGGGGCCGACCCAGTGATCCCATGCCTGCCGAGCAACCCGCTTAAAACAGCAGGACCTCGAGCATCACAATTCAGTCATGTTAGGCACGGGCAGGGAGGTGACAAGCGCTTCCAATGCTTGTGTATTGTTTATCAGGATGCCGTGTTACGAGCGTCTGTCCGTGACTTCTCTGGGATTTCTACCCCCGAATATGTTTGCCACATCAGGGTGTGAACGTGGGCATGTTTAATAACAAATATATGCAGAACTTTTGTTGAGTCGGTCACATGAGCACACGATATTGAAACGCGATAACTGACGGGAACTGAAAACGTCTGCAGTAGCACTCGACGTCGGAAGGAGTGTCCCCATCGGGCGTTATGTTCAAGGTTATTTATAAATCACCTGTTTCGTTCCATGTTCTGATGGTCTCTCGCAAACTTTGTCCAGCGAAGTCACGGCAGTAGAAAGCCAGTGGTGATTACCGCCGTCTTGTTCCTTTTTAGAACAGCTAGCTTCACAAAACAGCCGCGGGCGTGTTTGTGTATCTTCACGTCACACTTGCCACAGAAAAAGGCGAGTGCGCACCGTATATTACGTGACAATGTAAACACAGATGGCACACACCTCCAACGGCAAGTGACTAGAAGCGACCGTTCGGGACCCACGTGAAGCTGAAGTCCACACCAAGCGCGTCCTTCGCATGGCAGCGCTCGCCTCCACCGAGAGCTGTCAAGTGACGTGCCTCGCTGATTTCGTGTCGTCGCTGGGCAACGACACCTGCATCGCTTGCCATTTACAAACGTCATGCGCCAAAACCAAAACGTGCGCGGCCATTCATTGACCTAAGCTTGCCTACCCATGCATGAAGTGAGTTGGGGGCATGTGAGGTGCCTTGTTACAGCATGGTACGTAGCCCGGTCGCTGGGTGCAGCTCGTAATGAAAGACAGTTACTGGGGTGCGAATGGAAAACAAATCCGTTACATTTCCAGCCGGTGCCAATCTGAACAGATACACCTCCTCATGAATGACCCACAACTACGCGACGAAGCCTCCAGACACCACAGGGTTGTTATAACGGCATTGAGGACGCCTAAATTTTCGGCCCGAGAGACGCCCAATACAGGAGCAAATAGTCCTTTGTTTCGTGTTTTGAAGATCACGACTATGACAAACAACTGATCAGTAGAACCGCGAAGCTCAAATTACAAGGTGCATCATAAAACATCGATAATGATTTCCGAACACCTCGGTCGGTACACCGTATACGTGTTCCCGCGGACCCCAAGTAAGCCTAGCTCACATCTCACCAATGAGTTCGCAAGGCAAGACAAAGACGGAGTTACTTCGAACACACGTTAAGGGCACTGGGAATCATTACGAGGCTCCGACCAATGACAGCCCTTACCCGAGAGGTCCGTGTAGCTGACACGGAAATCATCGCATGGCAATGATGACCATCGGTTCCTGGTCGTGATCTCACATTCTCGTATAGCGCACCAAACGCGCATGGGTGACGCTACTCATCCAAGAGTTGATAAAAGTAATCGGAATATCTCTGTGGCGAACGATATCGGCCACAGAGCTTGTCACCTCGAACCAAATTTAACTGTGGCGTCTGTGATATCAGCATGCAAAAACGGCACCGCTTAGTGGGAGGTACGAAATACCGTGCCTAGCATACACGACAACAGATGACAATACATATTGGAGCATCTCTATAAGTCAAACGCCTACGGGCTTCAAAGGGTGATGCCCGCTGCTCGAACGGTGATTGACAGGCTTGTGCTTAACTCTGGGTGGAGTCAAACTCGACTCCGCAATGACCCGCACTTTCGTGTAATGCAGTTGGATTCCATTCTTCGCAAAAACTTAGGTCGAGCTTGGAGATCAGAAAACCGCATTATACAACAATTCACGAACGGACTGAAGCCACAGTATAATTAACGGCACGTTCTTATTATGAGAGCTCTTGGGTGAGAGGTAGGTTAAATAGCCTGTGCCCATGAAGTGATGGAAAAAGACCAAACATTCAACACACCTCGCATTGGAACTCCCTCAGGAATAAACATCGAACACGGACATGTGTTCACTACACCAATGAGTCGAACTGGATGCTTAGAGCGGAACTGAGCACGAGCCTGATGACTAGAGACGGTGATATGTGACCTGATCACATGCCATAGTAATGCGTGACTTGTAAGGCCTGAGCCGTTCACGGACCGCAGGAGCGTGCATGGCTGCGGTGACGGGTCTCGCCGCCACCGCCGAATCCACAGCGGGCACAGCACTACGCCGGCCCGGCGAGCGGACAGCGCGCATGCGCAGCCAGCGCCGCCGCTTGCGGCCGGCCCGGCCCGGACGAGCCCGGATCGGAGTCGGGGCGGCTCGGCGAGCCAGGCCCATCCGCGGCGGCGGCGGCGACCGCCGCCCTCGCCGCTCTACGCCTCCTTATCTTTCTCTTGAGGCGGGTCATTGCTGAAACGGCGGAGACATGGTGACACACACACCCCTGAACGAGCAGCCCCAGCGTCGCCCGCCGAATATGGAAGTCCGACTCCACCCGCGCGTCACGAACTGACGCGCAACCCTCAGATCCTGCGGAATATTCTCCATGCGCGGCACACTTCTGCTTTGTGGGTGCGCGCCAAACTGCGTATCACGCAATCTGTACAAAACGGTACGTTTGAAACGAGCCAGTCACAAAATACGCCTTAAGTGCGCCCAAATGAAACCATTTCTATGGCAACACCAGCATACATAGGCACGTACTTGAGTGTCAAATAAAAAAGGCATGCCACTTACTCATGATAGTATGGTACAAAAGTTTCATATTGTTCTGGTGTTCACTGAAATGTGCAGGGGGCCTGGAACAAGTGACGATTTGTAAAACAGTATTTGAGGCACATGTCAAGAAATAATAATGCAGCGAGCTCTGGGTGTAGTGAGCCGCCACGTGCGGTGCCAGGAACGCAGAACGGATTGCACCACTGGCGGTGCGGTCCACGCGGCCCACCCAGCACGCAGCCGGCTGGCGCGCGACAGGTCGGGTCTCTGACCTGTCCCCGTCGTCCTCGGTCGACTCGGACGCGCCTGGTGGAGCCGGATCCTGCTGCCCAAACGGCTCTCCCAGCTCCGCAACCTCACCAGACAGGTAGCGCCAGCAGTAGCAGACGAGACGCTGCCGAAACACGGACACCGTCAGCCCCCAGCCGGCCAACCTCACCGGCCAACATCACCGCGCCCCAGCGTCACCGGAGCCGGGACCCGGCCGCGCCCCAGCGTCACCGGAACCGGGATCCGGCCGCGCCCCAGCGTCACCGGGGCCGGGATCCGGCCGCGCCCAGCGTCACCGGAGCCGGGACCCGGCCGCCCCAGCGTCACCGGAGCCGGGATCCGGCCGCGCCCCAGCGTCACCGAAGCCGGGATCCGGCCGCGCCCCAGCGTCACCGGGGCCGGGATCCGGGCGCGCCCAGCGTCACCGGAGCCGGGACCCGGCCGCGCCCCAGCGCCACCGGAGCCGGGACCCGGCCGCGCCCCAGCGTCACCGGAGCCGGGACCCGGCCGCGTCTCAGTTTCACCGGCGCGCAAGACCCGGCCGCGCCTCACTTCCACCCGCTCCGGCCGTGCTGAGGCTGAGCCCGGCCGCCGCCGGTATTGCCAGATAGTCTGACGACTGACCGCGTCGGGTCCGGCATTTCGCCAGCGCTGGACGTGTCGCCGGGTGACCCGACCGCGCACACTGTCCGCGGCGTCTGACAGCCGGTCTGGTGGCAGGTCTGCAGACTGAGCAGGATCGCGTACCCAGTAGTGGCGGAGGTTGACGGCGGCCAGCATCCACAGCAGGACGTGCACCACAAGACCGACGACCACCACGTTGTCGGGCAACGGCTTCAGCAGGCTGGGCCCCAGTAGCTGGCTGTACCAGTACGTCCGCGTCAGGAACCTGGGCGGATCGCGGCAGAGTGTCAGCACCGCCGGCCGTATCAGCTGCTGGGTGGGGCCGGGGGAGCACTGACCATCACGATCGCTCGTCAGAGAGCACGAGTAGAACGCGCTTGAACGGGACGCGGTTAGAACAGATCGGCCTACAGACTGGGGGCAATATGTGCGCTGAGCAGCGGCCCACAACTGAGGAGTGGTTGTTGCCTGCTGCGGCATCGTTTTGAAAGGACTATTGGAAGCCGCACGGCACTTCCCAGTCGCTTTGTTTCATTCGATATGGCGAAACCGCAATGACTGAAAACTCGATCTCCAACACAAGCAGCGCCGCTGAACGGTCGCAGCCTGCTGCTAGCAGGGGGCGCCAACACTACGACAGGCCGTCGCCGCGGAGGCGACTGACCAGAGCGGCAGCAGCGCCATCAGGCAGAAGCCAGCCAGCGCCTGGCGCGCGGGTAGAGGAGCGCCGCGCCGTCCCAGCGCCAGGCGCAGCAGACCCAGCGGCACGTCCGGCAGGTGGTGCAGGATCAGCACCCACAGCAGCAGGTGCGGCAGCCTGTCGGGCGGACGTACGGCGGCGTCAGCGCTGGCGGGCCCCGACAGCGCCTGCCGGGCCACACGGAGACGGTCCCGCCGCAGCGACAGAGCGGCCCGGTGCCATCGCACGCGGGACGGTGTCGCCGCCTGGTGCTGCGCGCCGCGCTGATCTTCCACCGATCGCTGGTGGCAGCGGTAGGCCTTGGCTGGCCGGGAGCATCCACTCACCCGGCGAACGCGACCCGGGAGCATTCACTCACCCGGCGTACGCGGCCCGAGAACATCCAATCACCCGGCGAACGCGGCCCGAGAACATCCACTCACCCGGCGAACGCGGCCAGCGCCACGATGGCCAGCAGTAGGGTGGAGGGTGCGGCCAGCACGCCGCCGTACAGGCCGGGCGGCACCAGCCAGTAGAGCGAGCTGCAGACGGACAGCGCGGCCAGCGCCCAGTGCAGCGGGCTCAGCTCACCACCTGGCCACGGCGCCGACACGGTCAGCGACGCACACGACCAACGCAGCTGGCGTGGACCCGCTGCTCTTGAGCTAACCTGTCACGGTATTCAAAATGGCCTGTGCTGGAGTGACTGACATCTGGTTCATAGGCATGCCTGCCAGTAATCACGCGGCATACAAAACACCTTACATGGTACCTATGCAAACAGACGTATGCTGAATGCGGATCTCCCTCAAGTTTATTTAAAACAGTGTAACCACAACTTGAAGTGCATATTACACGGGGTGACACAGCCGAATTCCATTTTCTATTTCTAGCATTTTGATGCAGTGTCATATTCTAAGCGACTTGGATTTTTGACGGTTTTGGAGACTATAATTAACCAGCGGCCAAAATCATCTTGTCGTTGCCGTTTAGCGAAGTCGTTTTACGCCATTGCCCTATGACGAGGTCAACCATATGCCATGTGGTAGAAATATCCTTTTCTGACACAAACCATGGCAAATAGACTGGAATGATGCTCAGTGAAGCCACACATAAGACATGAAAGCCTAAAAACATAACTGCATGTGTTGCATTCGATCGTTGGCACGGTATTATATACGCTTACTGAGCCCAAGGTACCTGGGTACATAGGCGCGGGCAGGGGTGTAGCATCCCATTCATTTATGAGCCCCAGTCCCTCCCCCCCCCCCCTTCTCACAATTGGGAAGGGAAGTGGTCCAAACCAGAGGAGAAACACATTTTTGTGCATTTTGATGGAGGTTTTAGCCAGTTTTTGCTGCTCGCCCCCCCCCCCCCCCCCCCTCCTACAACGGAACTAAACCACCGGGTGCGGGTACAGGATGGTCGGGATGTTTAAGTCTTGCTGTTGTGTGGATGCTTGCTCCACACAAACTTCTAGACTGGTGGAAAGAAAGGAGGGGGAGGGGTGCCTGTTATCATCTATCGTCTTGAAACGTCTCATTAGCCTCGTCAAAGCAAAAGGTTTTTGGTAAAAAATCGGGTTAATTATCCTACGTAGTTTAAATTTTTTAAAGTCTGTTGGGCTTTTCTCCACAAGTTTCAGAAAAATAAAAGCTTGTTTGACTTTCCCCCGTAAGATTCAGACAAAATATACTAGGGCCTTTGTTTCCCTTACTTGCCTTTCTTTTACCTGAAATTCGTCTCCTCTTGTTAATTGGAGACAACGCTTGATATTGATCAGACGTTGCTCCGCGGGTCCTGCTCCAAATGACGTACTGCCGGCCGTGACTTCCCAGCGTGTTGTTTTGTAATCGCCATGCACAGGACACACGCAGCTTAATGCGTGCTAATAATGACGATTTGGATTCACAGGATTAAGAAAGATGCGAATCCTCAGATCCCAAACACGAAAAATCGAGCGCCAAAAAACGGGAGCTAAATCTATAAACTGCCGTCGAATCCCGAAATTCATCCTGTATATGCATGCTTAAAATGCATTGAAATATGTCCTAGCCCCCAATTGTAACAAACTAGACGTGGCACGTGTATAAACATGGCGGCTTGGCATGAACCCACGTGATAGCCTCTGTGATAGGATATTTCATGAAGAAAACAGTAAAACGTAGCATTCGCAACAGGTTCAGTTACACCTTCTTCAAAGAAAATTTTTTAGCAACAGCTTAGGTGCATTCTCAGCGACTCGGACGACAAGCATTTGACAAAGACGACGAAGATTGACGTCAACAATGACGTTATATTCTGCGCGGTTTGATGTTTGCTGCGATCTTGATGACAAGAATTCATTGTGACGTCACGTAGGATCTGCCGGACGCGCAGAAACCTTTTCGGGGACGAGAAGGGAGTGAGGTAGATCCCCTGGCCATCCGTTGGGAACTTGAGCTCCGCGCCAGCGAGGTGAACGCAGCCAAACCGCTTCGCCCAGGAGCCCTCCTAGCGAGGGTTTTTCGGAGCATCAAGCCGAGGCCCTGCTCAAACCGAGCAGGGCCTCGGTCGGAGGCGGGCGGTCATAATCGCCATCGCAGACCGCCTGAACACCATCCGGGCGGTCGTGCACGGCCCGGAGCTCAATGAGCTGCCGCACGAAGAGATGCTGGAGAAGCTGACCCACCAGGGGGTGTGCGAGGTCATGCGCCGACCCTCCCGCCGTCCCAGCCTGGCCCCATCCTCCTGGTCCGACTGCGATTTAGAGGGCTTAAACTCCTGCGGGCCATCCACTGCGGATACCTCATGATCTTGGTAAAGGCCTGGGTATCCGCATTATCTTGGTAAAGGCCTCCCCTCCCCCCCCCCCCCCCCCCCAGTAGTGTCGCGCGTGCCAACGGTTCGGCCACACCGACCGGACCAGCAGGACTACGCACCCAACCTGCGGTCGCTGCGCCAACGCCCACCACACGCGGGAGTGTTACGCGGAAAATCCGCGCTGCGCCACATGCAAAGGCCCGGACGCAGCTTGGGACCGCCGTGCCTGTCCTGCTTGGCATATGCAGCGCGAAGTACCGAGGAAGCGCCAGCAACAGACAGCGGCAGCGACCCATGCACCCGTCCAACGAGAGCTCCACTCTCAGGAGTGGCCCACGCCGCAAGAGGCGTATCCTTGCTTTACCCTCTAATATCAGCTCCACAGCGGCACTCCCTCCCTGCTCTCCATCCTCTTGAGGAGCCCGAGATGCCGATCCAGCGCTGTGCCGCAGCGCAGCGCTCCCCCTCAGCACGCCGCTCCCCCCCCCCCCCCCCCCCAGCAGGTCAGCCGCGTCTGGTGCGGCGTCCGATTGAACCCGCGTCGACCGACCCCGTTGAGGCGAACCCGGTGGCTGCGAACACCCCTGAGGAGGGACCCGCCCCACCATACTCCGAGAGCCTCTCTCTCACCCCAGCACGTCGGTGTTGGCCCTCCCTGCCACCCGCACCGGCGTCGCAGGAATTCCCGTCCGATGTCCCAGCCGCTGGACCCCCGACACCAGCCTCTCGGGCAAGTACCCCACTCGATCGTCGAGCCCGACGAGTTACGCGCCCTGCCGCCGTCCCTCTCCTCGATCCCCCCCCCCCCCCCCTCTCTCTCTCTCCGTCGCTCGGCTAGATGGTGTCCCTCCCCTCCCGAGGACTTGGATTCTTTTAATCAAAACTTTATATCAACGGTTACTGCCTCTACACGCATAGTGTGAATACAACCCCAAATAGAAATTACCAAGATCATCTAATCGCAACGCAGTGAAACCTTTGTGACGTGCACATCAAACAATTGGAATACAGCCGTGATTATCCATCCCACCACGCACACCAAGTCCCGACTTACTTTTCCAGACGTCGGCCGCCACCCAAGTCTGTGGCGCATGCAAGGCCTCAGCTACGGCCGCCACTCCACACAACAGGAGGCTGGTAATGGCAAAACGCACATCTTCAGTCCTTTGCAAGTCGACAGCAGCCATTGGCCTGCCAAAAGGAACACCCAATTACAACATAATCTACGACCTGCTTCTGTATGTCACGCGAGCCCCAGCCTGGGATATCGTCACGACTTGGTGGCTGGCGGCGGGAAGGAAACAATGTTCAGGCAGGTTCCAACTGGCCTAGTGGGGTGCAGTGATGAGGGGGGTGACAGAAGCAATAGAACAAAAGGATCATTGCTACACAAGAGAAAAGTCCACCGGCGGGCCAGAGGAAACACACTCTGGGAGCCGCCCCCCCCCCCCCCCCTGCTCCTCCCTCAATCAGTGCCCTGCATATAAAGTAACCGCGATTTTCTTACGTCTGAATGGGCACATTGGAAACTGACAGCATAGGTATTTGCTGCATAAACCACCTTAGTATCAAACGTAACCGGGACGAGTAGATGATAATATACTTAAACATCATCACTTCCGTTCGGAAAAGTACTCGCACATCTTGCAATGCTTGGGCATGGAAACCCTCGCTGACAGAAGAGCAAAACAATGCCTAAGGCCACGAAAACAAATACAAGCGTCTCCCATGCACAGAGATCTGCTTCCGAAGCAGCGAGCGGCGATCTCCGACAGAAATACCAGGAACGCAAACACACTCCAAACGTTTTGCTGTAGTATGCGACTACGCAAATCAAGTATTCCCCATATAACCACTCTCATAAACACAGATATATTATCAACTAAGTAGTATGCTACTTCACATGTATATTGTGCGTATGTGCTATGAGTTGCTACTCGAAGCCATGCTTTTCTCAATAAACTGTCTCCCTCTCTCTCTCTCCGTCTCCGTCTCCGTCTCCGTCTCCGTCTCCGTCTCCGTCTCTCTCGTCTCTCTCGTCTCTCTCTCTCTCTCTCTCCTCTCTCTCTCTCTCTCTCTCTCTCTCTCTCTCTCTCCTCTCTCTCTCTCTCCCTCTCTCTCTCTCTCTCTCTCTCTCTCACTTGCCATCGTGTAGATGATATCAAAACCCAAAGCTCATCAGGTCCACCGCTTCGAAGAGCTAACATAAATGAATCTGGCCCCATCAATGCAGAAGACAATATAATTAACTCCTAGGACAATTCGTCTTCATAAAGGCCTAGCGGGAAAAGGACTCCACTGATCGGCATTTTCATCCTACTGCGTCACATTGCTCGAAAGATGGTTGGCGATGGATCTGATTACGCCTTGCCATTCCAGCCCGTACAATTGACCAACATGTGATGGTGCACGTTTTTGGTCAACATAACAATGCAGCCATAAAATACGGGTGTCTTTAGGTGCATGAAGATCACGGTGAGCTGGACCGCACACGCATGAGGCATTTATGGCCAGGTTTTTACCGTTTTGGGCAATAGCTCTGTTGTTCCATGAGTTTTGAAATGCGTGCCGCTGGCTTCTTTCCCGTCTATTGATGGCGCGCACATAAGGCAAGTCCAACAGTGCCGTAGCCGTGTTATTTGTTGATGGTACGTTCTCGTATACCTTGCGATTCGCTTTGCGCACGTACCTGTTCTGGTTGTCAGGAACCGACACCAATTCCTAACGTTGGCGACAGACGGGCAGTCACCGAGTCACGGGCACCGATCGCAGGCAACCAGCTGCTCACATCGACCAGCACTGTCAGTATAACTGTCCATGTTCTCCTCCGTCCGTGTGGACTTCACGTGACCGTGACGAGTCATCGAGATCTAGGCCTGGGTATTCATCTGCGTTGCATATGTTTCTACAAATTAACAACTGACATCCAGGCCGTGCTCACCTATTCGCAAGGCCGCCGGGATTAACAGGACTATCTTAAGCTTATCGGAAATATGGTGGTTTTAGCGGCCCGGCCCTGCTAGACAGTCACCCTTCTGACCGCTTATACATCGGCAACTGCTGTTCCTACCACTAGAAACTTTCCATCACCAAGTGGCATGCCGGAATGCATGAATTCATCCATGGGGAGCTAAAAATTTCAGAGGCTTGGCGACATGCATTTTTACCGATTCACTGTAGATATTGTCAGCAATTGACGTGTGTCGTAATAGCCGAGCGCTTCTGTAAAATGAATGTTTTGGGGCGCATATGGGCGCAGTGAACTGTGACATAAGGCTACATACGTTCTGTCGCCTTGTTGTAACACTCTTGACTTAAGCCTGTGTTGTATGCAGTTAATCGGACTGAGGCTACATTCCTCCAAAGTCCAATCCTCGTCCCCTGTGCCCTGCGGGGTGTTGAGCCAGCGATTTGAACAGGGGAGGGAAGGCCTAAAGCCACCATATTTCCGAATAGTTTAGATTAGGGTAGTGCTGTTAATCCCACGTCGACCCGCCGGGCGGACGGCCTCGCTTACGGGTGAGCACGGCCTGGATGTCAGTTGCTAATTTGTAGAAACATATGCGACGCAGATGAATACCCAGGCCTAGATCTCGATGACTCGTCACGGTCACGTGAAGTCCACACGGACGGAGGAGAACATGGACATTTATACTGACGATGCTGGTCGATGTGAGCAGCTGGTTGCGAGCGATCGGAGCCCGTGACTCGCCGACTGCCCGTCTGTCGTCAACGTTAGGAATTAGTGTCGGTTCCTGACAACCAGAGCAGATGCGTGCGCAAAGCGGAGTGCAAAGTGTACGAGAACGTACCATCCGCAAATTACACGACTACGGCACTGTCCGACTTGCCTTATGTGCGCGCCATCAATAGACGCGAAAAAAGCCAGCGGCACGCATTTCAGTACTGTTATTGAACAGGGCCACTGCTAAAAACGGTACAAATTTGGCCAAAAATATATCATGTGTATTAAGTACAATTGTTCGTGGTCACCACCTATCTAAATCATCTGCATTTTATGACAGCACTTGTAAAGTTCACTAAAAACGTACACCATGACATTTTGCGAGGCGTAATCCGACGCATCGCCAACCATTTTTCGAGCAATGTGACTGAGTAGGATGAAAATGCCATCGGTGCCAAACGCCACATGGGTGGAGTCTTTTGCCTGCTAAACCCGACAGGAAAAGGGGTTTTTCTAGGTACAAATTACATTATCCTACGTAGGGCCGCGTACTTTTCGTAGCTTTGCCGTAGGAACCTTGACTTACGCCTGTGCCGTAAGGAGAGTAAATCGCACAGAGGCTGCATTGCACGCTTCCTGGCCGAATCCTCGCCCCTGTGGGCTGCAGGGTGTCGGGCCCTCGACTTGACTTGTGCACGGTGCATTCGTCTATACGATGCAGGTGGTCTTTGGTCGGTATCTGTTCGGGCTTCCGAGATCTAATTCGGCGGACGCCTGAACGAGCGTGACATGTGGCTCACATTCCCATCAATCTTGCGCCGTCGCGATTCTCCTTTCATTTCAGTCTAACGAAGTTGGCCGCCTGCCGCCAGGACGGCCGGGGATTGTCGATATTCATGTCCGGCTTTGCCCCTTATCTTTGCCCTTTGCCCCTCATTCACACTTCCTTCATTTCGCATTTGCCATGTTAAACGAAGGGACATTTTT